ATTGTCAAACCGACCACTATTCAGCTGAAATGCAGGATTTCATGAGTTTTCTGGTGGATTCGGACTTGACACTTGCCGTTGAAGTCGATAAAAAGCAGAGAGGAATGGTAAATATTCCCAGTAGAAGGTATCAAGTCAGTTCTGACCTACTACTAGACGCTTATATTTTCTCCACCACTTATGTTTTAGTGGTCGGACACAGTGTACCTCGAATAACTATTTGCCTCATCCATGAGTTCCACAGCTGAACAAAGCTGCTGGAATTCTGTTTAGTAAAAATCGATTCTAGCAGCTCCCAATATGGGTGTGGGCTTTAATCAGACTGACACTGGTGTAATAAACTAGCATATAGTAACGAGGAGCCAGTGCATACGATCTGCTTTACGAGAAACGGAAATTTCCTCCGTTTGTTCAACGTTAACATATCCTTTTTTAAGCATGACCAGTTGCTAGGCCACCAAAAACCAGCGTGCCTGCCTGAGAAAATCCCTACCCTCTCTTTTCGCTTAAAAGTATCGCGCGCTGATTGATGTCGGTCACAGCTCAGCTCTGCTTATAGCAATCTCAAAGTAGCTGTTGGAAGCCGCAATGTTAAAACTACCTCAACAAAATGATAGCAGTGTGAGTTTTTGTACAGGAACCTAGGCTCTGCAGGTTTCATTGCTCCTATTACAAGAGTTTTGGACTTGTTGCAGTGATAATAAATGATCCATCATTCTTTTCTCAACAGAAACGAAAAAAATCACATCTGAATTATACTCTATTGTTTCACAGTCTAATGCCCAGTCAAGGTATACAGTCATACTACTGAACTGAATCAACTAATAGCCTTCCACACAAGTCCACCCACAATGATGTGCTGAGTCGATTGTGGCATTGATCATTTCTGAGCACACAGAACTATTGCTTAGCCAATCGTAACAATATTTATGACAAATTTGAAATGGATAGGGTGTGAACTTACAAGATCATTTTGCCTTCTAGGAATCACCATCGGCTCTAGTCTGCTAGCTTCAGAGGTCGGGCAGGAAACGAATCTGGATCTGAGAGAAGGTTGTCATTTGTCTGAGTCAGTAGTATGTACACGCAATGACACTCTTGTCTACTTTCGATGATGTATGGAAGAATGCCCTGGACTGCAGAGCTGATATTCTCATAATCTGTCCTCAAACGTCGAACTATCGCAACAGTGGGTTGGGAATACCGCTACTTAATGCAGAGCACTTGGAGAACCAAGTGATAATGAGGAATTCGGTTCCGCGAAAAGTGGATGCTAGCTTTCAATCTGTACCAGCTAATCAGTATGCAATTACTAGTCCACTAGACCAATGGTGCGAATTTCCTGTCCTAAACGCGTGAGCTAAAACAGCTGTGTTAAGGGTATTTCAGTCATCTGAGGCATAGCCGCAAAGACAAAACGACACGGCTCCAATTCTTACGAAAATGACAAGCACAGACCAACCTGTGGAGGTTGTGAGTGCTCCACTGGCCGTATCATAAAGTTCACATTTGTGTGAATAATTATTCACACTTGGCACCTCGCTACGTTGGAGAGAGCTCTATGTCAGTTGGTTGATAGAATGGTGGTAGTCTTCCACGCAGAACATTTAAAAATAATTTTGTACCGGCTCATCAGATATTTTCGAACTGTTGAAGTAACCTTAAAAGTTTCGTCGAAAGATATGTATAATATCGGGGAGTTGAATGGTAAAAGCAGAAATTCGTCACATCTAAACTCACTCAGACAGCCGTCACACGCACGTAAAAGCACCGTACTCGCCTTTCGTCCTTTCCGTAATCGTCAGTAGTGCGCAATCCATCGGACCCTAGTAGGGCTCGAACACGCAGCTCGAGTGCTGCCAGTCCGTGGTTGAGACCACTGAGCTACGGGAGACGGCAACGACCATCGTGAATAAGTTACTAGATGTGATATAGCGCCGCGCATTATCCACTGACTTGCACGTTTATGAGGTGCAGAGAACAGGGTAGCCCCTCACCAAGCGACGAACGTACAAACTTAAGCTGCCATTTAACCTATGGCATTAGCAGCAGTTTGGTCTGCGTACTGATTACAGAGGAGTAGTAGGGGAGTTGAATGGTTTAGGTGGAGATTCGTCACATCTAGACTCACTCAGATAGCCGTCACACGCCCGTAAAAGCACTGTACCTGTCTTTCGTCCTTTCCGTAATCGTCAGTAGTGCGCGTTCCCCCGGACCCTGGTAAGGCTAGAACCCGCAGCTCAAGTGTTGCCAGTCCGTGGTGGAGACCATTGAGCTACGGGGGACGACAACGACCATCGTGAATAAGTTACTAGATGTGATATAGCGCCGCGAACTATCCACTGACTTGCATGTTACAACCGTACAGAGGACAGGGTAGACCCCCCACAAAGCGACGGGCTTACCAAACTTAAGCCGCCAAATAACTTATGGCATTATAAGTGGCGCTATATCACATCTAGTAACTTATTCACGATGGTCGTTACCGTCTACCGTAGCTCATTGGTCTCAACCACGGACTGGCAACAGTCGAGTTGTTGGTTCGAGCCTACCAGGGTCCGATGGAATGCGCACTACTGACGATTCCCGAAAGGATGAAACGCGCGTACAGTGTTGTTCCGGGCGTGTGACGGCTGTCTGAATGAGTCTAGATGTGATGAATTTCTACCTATGTGTATAATAGGTTCTAGGTCAGATGACATATCATGCATCCTGATAAGCACTAGACGATCGTTTTGTCCTGCCGGGAATCGTCAGTATTGCGGATCCTCCTCCGGAATGAAGCCAGAAGTGCTAGTCACGAAGCCTGGAACCCTGTGCCATTTGGTACAACAACATGTCACAAAGGAGTCATTGATCAGTCTCAGTCTCCGCATCTGTGGCAGTTTCGGATTACATGGGTTCAGATTAGACGGTGCAATGACCGAATTCCATTATCTTGTTATTACAGCAGCGCTAAGCGATTCTGCAAAGTTTACACACTGTCGCCCGCATCTTCAGGCTGCGCGTCGCCGGACGTATTTCCTGCCCCCAACGCAGTAGATTCGGGGCGAGCGCAGCCGGTACGGAATTGAAGAGGTTGTTTTTGAACGTCGCACTTCGACGTAGTGAATCATTCTCACTTCAAGTAAAGTGGCGTTCTGGTCTCTACTCGCCTTAGCTTAGTCATAACAACCATACTGCAAAGGTTTGTCTGCTTTCTCGTTTGCGCGCCGGACTAGGGAATGTGCGTCAATCAATCGGTATGGTGGCTGTGCACCAGTCAATTAGTCAGCAGAATTTGGATATGTGCGGCTACTCAATGCTAAGTTTTCGGGGATATTGCAATCCACTCGTCTGTCTACCCTACGACACGACAGCAGTTTACGCGTCGATTTAGATTATCTAGGAGCGAACCTCGGCGAGTCAAGTCACCAAATCGGTTACTGGCGCCTTATTCAGAACAGGGGCTGACTGATCTATTACTGATCGACGGCGAGACTTGTGGAACCGCAACCTGTATTTTGTGAATGCTCATCATGATTTCATCGCCCATGGTCTTCTGAAATTCCTCTCGGTTTCAGTTTCTGCAGTTGAATATGTCGCAAACTACGAGGTGAAACTACCATTTTCGTGCGAGAATCGTTCATATTTCTGTGTGATCGACCCATCATATTTGGTTCGCATCGACTGGTTCAACCCCGGTAGTACTCGGACACATGATCGTTTTGGATGCACACATCTTATGTGAATTGCACGGAGAGAAAGCGACCGAGGGATGTCCACAAAAGCAAACAACACGCACTACGTGCTGGTTCAAGACAGCGCTCATAAGTAATATCTACGCTCAGGCATAAATCTGAATGTCATTTTAATATCCATAGGTATGCAAATTATGTTATTTCATAGTCAACTAAATGGGCCAATACAACTGGATTACCTAAGTTAAGAACCTGTGCCATGGGGTGGACCACTGTAGTGTGAGATGAGACGTAGATGATTAGAACCATTCCAGTTAAACTGGATATTTGGAGCTATAACACGGATCTATATATGTGAGGAGCATAAAAAATGAAAAACTATGATGAAAATACAACACAACTTATGTAAAACTGATTTGTGTAGCATCATTTGAACTTAGGAAATCTGCCTTAGTTCCAGATTTGTTCCGAGATGATGGACAGTAAAAATGATTCCGCATGCGATAGGCATAGCAGCAGGAGAAAAACCCGGTTAACCGTGTTGTAACTTAAACATTGCCAGCGATCAGTTAGCATTGACACGTAATTCGAGTGGCACAAGTCTGAAAGACGCACCAACAAGATATGTCCTACTAAAGGTGGTTTCTTCCGTGATGAACTCGGCAAGCACCTGAGGGAATAGCACAGGAGGGAAATTAGAACACAGGTTGATGATGACACGGTGATAGGCGAGAAACAATCGGTCTCCAAAAACTTCATCCGGCTTTGCAACACGCAGGCTTAGAAGTCATGTGAAGACTCGGAATGCTTGAAATGGAAATACCATTTCAACTATGTCATGATCAATATGAGGTATCCAAGAAAGCCGGTTATCGCACCAAGCGATATAAAATAACGTTTGTTGTGAGAAAGCAGCTGGGAGGATACATTTCAGGCAATTAAACGCATCATTTTGCCTACAATGCAGCTCGCTAAATAGACTACAGTCATTAGCTCTTGTGCTTAGCGCTGGGAAAAACGCACAAAAAGTATATGAAGCACATCGTGTAAGGTCAGCGCGGTAGTGATGGCTTAAAAACAATCTCAACTACACATACCTTTGATCCGCGCTCGTTGAATATGATTTCCACGTCCAGGATAGTTCCAAACGGCTGAAATCAGGAAATGACTACGATGGATTAACGGGATGCGGCAAAAGAGAAAGGAGTTAACAAAGAAAGCTGGGAGCTGCTTTGGTACTGATGAAAGAGTATGAATTGCATACTCACCGAGCTGGTTAAATTGCTAAAGCGAAAGGACGAACCGGCCGTACAGCTTTTCCCTCATGTGATGGCTGTCTGAGTCGAAATGTGATGAATTATTCCTACTACTTCTACTACTAGTAGCAGTATGATTAATATGGTGATACCAGGGAAGGCTATACTTTCAACGTGCCTGGTGCGTGAAGCCTTATTAAAAAACTAATATACAAGTGATCTACAGCCTAAAAAGATTTGACAGCGGATACTGAAAGTATCGAAAAAGCTTGTTCTATCAAATCGCAACAGGGCACAGAACTCACTCCAAGCAACTGTCTGAGGTCAGCTTCGCGAAATCGGAACGGGATGTTGGACACATGTAGTCGTTTCGGTCCAACACTGAGCAGATTCGCCGCAGACACCACTCCGTTACTTGTCATTGTGGATACACAGGACGTGACGGTGTTCGACTGACAAGTCAAACTTTCGTTTTTCGCATCATCGTGTCCAACATGCATGGTTGCCAAACTGTCGGATGGAGTTTGACTCAACAAGCCTGTCGGGGAAGTCATGAGAGGACCGGTGGTTTGGAGGAACAAGGGTCTCGAAATGGCAGCATCCACGGATGGGATTGTGGTTGAGCCAACTCCAGGCACTAGCGAGTCAGTGATGTGGGTGTCATAGGCCGTGCCCATCAAATGGCTGATGGAAATGGGACCAGAGGTTCCGTTTGCGTTGGCCGACGCGAGTGTGGCATCCATGGAAGCAAACTGCTGCATTCATAGAGGAAAGAAAGGCGTAAAACTCATTTAACTAGGTCACCACGTCTTATGGTTGCTTTTGTTATAACAGTCATCATGTAAGCAGAACTCGTACAGTTCCTTTCATATCTAGTCAAATAGCAGTTAACTAGCAGTTTGGCTTCTATTTTCCAGTAGTTAGTCAGTCCGCGAATTCTGTCGAGACAGAGGATGGTTGTCAAAGCGTTTGGCAAAGTTAATAACGAGTACACAAGTCACTAGGAGGTAGGACTGCGGTGGCTACCTATTACATATTTGACCAGTACTGGTGGTGGCTAGAACCTTCTATTCGCATCCTTATCCTCGTTTGCTGCCTCGGTTAAATAGTAGTTTCAGTTGGAACTGAAACCTTGTGCATAAGATCACAGAACACCAACAGAGTAGAAGCGAACGGCATTCCAGACGGCTATCCTGTATTTTCAGCTTTTCCTGGTGATCAATCAGGTTGCCGTCAGCATCTGGCAGCAAATGTAGTCTGGGTTCTTCAGAATCTGGTAAGCGATTATGGTGTCCCCTGCAAACGTCGATATCGACTGATGTACCTACGTAGGAACTTGCATTTAAGCTTTTAGGGCAGATGGAAGAAGTACCTACTGTTCTTGGACGCCCTCCGTTGAGAAGGCTCTAGTACAACAAAATTTGGCTTCTGCCATGAGTGCCACGCCTGGATAGCATATGCCATTTGCGGTCGTACGTAGGCGTTAAACGTATGGGGGAAGACTGAGGGGTTAAATCGACCGAACACATTGTCAAAAGGCTGATGTGTTGAGTACCGATTCTCAACATTTTCCTGGCTATTTTTGAACAGCCAACATCGTCCTGAACCAGTATCCCAAGGTCGCGCTCTAGAGTGGTCTTCTGCATTCTGAATATCTTTAGATGATAAAAGGGCTTGTCTTCACCTGCCTGATTTGCAAACGCAGTTGATAGATCAGTCTTGATTGTAAACGGTTGAACCTGGGATTGAGTCGCTATCCATTCGCCCCAGACACTTGAATTACTGACTCCGGGAAACAGACAACCTCTACTTATCTTTACAGTGTGCAGTCTTTGTGAGAGTGCCAGGTTTCAGTGGGTGTACGAAAAGAGTATTTCCTGAACTATACTTAAATGAGTAAGTAACCATTAGAACAGCGTCCGTCTAATCCAGATACTCACAGAGCGCATATTATCTCGATTTTAATTGTAGTTAAAGTACTACAGCACAAACATGACTTCGGAATGCGTGAACCGATTCCGAAACAATTGTGGCTCTCACTCGCATGTCTGACGGGTAAAACCTTTCTGATTTAAGCCGCATACTTGAATGATGGGTAACGTGCAAAGGCAGAGCGGCACGCGTTGAAGCGACGGAACTTGGCGTCAGGAAGTCATGTATCTAGCTGGGAGCCAACTGTGGCGAACTAAGGACATTTCGGTTGGAGCAAACGGTCTTCCTTAAGAGAAAGATTGAGTAATGACAGTCTCGGGCTGCGTCTTGATGTGAAAACCATCATTACCGTCATATTGAGCTGAGATGTTCACATCCTGTGGGTCGACATCATCATCTTCTGACTCCAGCGTCTATTATTAGTCAAGATCATCTGATCTATCATCATCCCTGTGGTTCATATTTCTGCACTCGCTATTCTATCCAACCACCTGAATGCTTGACATTTCATAATCCTTAGCTTTACCTAGTGACTGGTAAGCGTAATGTGAGATGCAAAAACATATTTAACATCCAAATTACACCGACAATCCGCACTGGTGCTTCGCTTAGATGTATTCGTTAGCGGTTTTTGGGCGGGCTGGGATACTGCAAGCGCATTAAGATTAATTCAGGAGATGAATTGAACCAGGAGCGAAGGAATACAAATCTAATGCTACACCGATGACAACCTCGTGAACGTACAAAGCACCGAGACAGCGTTATTGAGACACAATTTACAACATGAACAGTGGGGCATGGGATCATTCGTATTTTCCACGCTTAAGCCTCAATTGGAGAGTGTGCCTTGATGAGAGCAGTTGAACACACAGCCAGATGTTTATGGTGGCATTCACCTCCACGAAAGACTGGAAATTCGGTATACAAGCCTTGAGACATAGGGAAGGAGAAAGTCCTTCTTGTGTTTCTACCCCACCATTTGCTCACACCTTCCTTGCTTTGTACATAGGGCAGCGCATCTGCTGGACGCTTTCGAAAAGCTGGTGATTCAACTACGTACCCTAGACAAGTTAGCCGGTATTACTCGGTGGCAAATGGATTTTAAGAATCTCAAACAGTTCCATCGCAGCCACACGCAATCACACAGAGATCATCGTTGGAAAAAGCGTTTGACGGCTGCTGAGTCATAGAGGAAACCAACAGCCGTGAGTATTTCCCATCATGTGTTAGAGTTGTCAACCTGTAGCGCTGAGCCAGTGATGATCGTTACTGCCTACGTGATTGTTATTCTCTGTGTTATAGTGTGTGTCAACATTCACTGCAGTGCAGGCGACAGGATTGGTATCCTGACTCACTGACCGCCTGAAGTTAAACCACCGCTATCTATTTTGTAGCAATGCATGATGCTCCCAAGATTATTACTGGTCAGTAATCAATATGGAATCTAACAATCTTCAAGTTGATCAACTGCTGTTATGGCTCTTCAGGCACTTGGAAAAAACCCATGAACACTTTGTTTGTGAGGCACGCACGAATCAGAGTACAGGAAAGTAATCAGGCTTAATTGTTGTATATGGGAGCAAACTTGATGTTGCTTCTGAAGACTTACTGCCGAATGAGTTACGACACCATTCAGGGCTCCCTGTTCAAATATGGGTTTAACAGTACTCGTCTATGTCTTAGTTTGTTAAACACCCCACCCTGTGCGCTAACATCTGAGGATTGTATCCACGGACCCGGAATCTCCATGATAGGTCATGGATTCGGTGAGATACTGTGATGGGGAAGGCACGTCCACACAAAATCGCAAAAGCCGATTTTAAGTAAGTAACGTCGCCGATCACTCACTTTGACACACACACACACACACACAAACACACGCACACGCACACACTCCATGTGAATTCGCACGTCCGGACATGTCTCTGTTTCCTTACGCTTGACTGCGCAGACTTCTAAGTGGAAATTCACGTACGTCGCCAACCTGGACATATGCTAAAGGCCATGCAACTGTATACCCGCTTTTGTCGGATCACAAAATCACTCTACAGAAGACCAGTCTTTTTCTTTGCTTTGGGTGCACAGCGTACGCTTGGGAAATAGTTCCAACAACACCGTGCTGCTAGCTTCGGAGGTAGAAGTCGTGGGGACCGCGATGTTCGTCCCGATCAAGTGAGCCATTACAACGATGCACTTATGGTCAGTATTAATGATACCTTCAGCTGGAGAATACCTGTTATCGTGCTTCAGAACACAAAATCAGCTTCTAACCACATTGTCAAGCACTAACCGCAGAGTTCAATGGCCTAGCGATCATTGTGTAATATGTGCCGAGTTCCACTCCCAGCTCAGCTTAACTTTACCTGAAGAGTCCAAACCAGAACGAAACCGTCGGTCATGGAGTGTAAGAATGGGCGAAATCAAAACGGAAATCCTCCAGCTCGTTAGTATGCTGTCAAACCATTAAAAAGAAGTTGTATGTTGCACTGGCATACTCACACATGCTATACAAGTGACATGATCAGTAATGCATGGGGAAGGAAAGACCAGGAAAATGGCTATTCACGTCGTAGTTATGGTACGAGGATATCGTCACGGCAGACACGACAAAACCGTGCCTTGTGAACATGGAAGGGTGAATGTTCTGTTGCATCACTTAAGTCTTCAGTTGTGAAAACAAACGTACAAATGGTTAATACTAGTTAAAGCCACGCAGTAAGTAATCATGGACAAAAATCATGTTACTGTTTTGCTCCAGCCATTAGTTTCTGAGTGACAAAGTTCCGGTTTACTAGGAACAGACCACTTGAACTATGGACTATTGACTCTGGCCTTCCCACGGGACACCCACGCTTGTGCTTTCTTCGGGTCAAGGAAGAGGTTACACGTTTGAATAACTAGCTATGGAAAGGATGACTTGCGTACCAGTGTTTTCTGGAATTAATGTCAGTAAATACAGCTAAGGTGGGCGTCGAAACCCCTCTATAGCGGGATAACTGTCTGTATTGTAGTAACTAATCTCAGCTAATTGCCCAGTAAGTATAGACTAGATCATATGCAGCTGGTTGTTAAAATCAGATAGCAAGCGAAGGGAAAGAACTGCAAAACAAAAAACTTAAAACGAAAGCCTCCTGACTCTGGTGAATAATTTATGTGATTGAAATGACCACGATTACTCATGGTTCACTGTGCTTTCCGGATACATCACAGTTGGGAATGAGCGAAACTAAAAACCTTCCGTGAGAAGCTGCCGGGAGTCATCCTGCAAATGTGATTGATAGAGAATTGCTGGAACTGGGTTGGTATTATTCAGGCAAGCTGCTTTACAGCATCCTTCGTGTGAAGCTGACCATTAGGAAGTGATGCTTCGTCTTCTATTTTTGATTGAGTATGCTGCCAAGTGAATTCATGAGATCGGTAACCACATACGGGGGACCATTCCACCGTGGATTGCATGCCTGCAGTCTAGTAGACAAATATGAAGGAGGCTGAGTGAATCCGAACACAACACCCAATCGTAAGACTTTGGTCTTGTGTTTACAATAATTGCACACTAACCTGAGTACTGTATGAAACGAAGTTCAAACCATTAATTTCTAGACGTATGTAAATCTATCTAGCCATTTCGATAACTCGGTGCCGAAGATCATAGTTACTAGTCATAAAATGTTTAAAAACGAAGTATATATAAATATATAAATGTATATATATATATATATATATATATATATATATATATATATATATATGTAAAACCCATGCTGAGGCTGATGTTGCATTCTCGATGATTCTTCATCGCAGTTGGGCTAAACCAACTTACACTTAAAAT